GTCCCGAAGAGTGTTTGAGACAAAGAACAGATTTTAGATTTACTATAAAGACAAACTGACGTTGCGCAGCGCAGTGTATCAAAGAAAATCAGTGACACAAGGATTATGTTGTGGTAACTACTTCATCCAGAACACCCCGTGACAGAAAGCTGTTCTGCCCCCAGCAAATACCATTTCTGCCACCCACCCCCTCTGCCCTGTATCGGTTACACATAACGCATAAACTGGCTCCGGACCAACTACATGAACTCTGTCTGCACCACTGCCAGCCGATGAGCAAGCTCTTTGTTATCCTCATAAGCATAAGATTGCAGCGCCACATTTCTGCCATAACTCTGACAAATGCAGGGCATCAACACCTTAAACACTCCCGCCACTTTTAGCTGCTCTATAATAGTTTTATCTTCATGGGATATCCAATTTACTCAGTCAAATGTGCAGCAAATGGACATACATTAAAAAGACAAACTAGTCTAACCTATAAGCAATTTAGAATCGCCAACTGACCCACAGTAATCCCACTAACTGCATGTTAGTGGGAGTTTAGGAGTTTAGATTGTGGGAGGATGTCAGAGTACCTGGAGAGATCCCATCCTGATACAGGGAGAACATGCAACTCCACGTATAAAGGCTGCGCAAGCAAAATATGTGAAAAGATTTTAAAATGACTTGGTGAAAAATAAATATTGTTATAGCTAACTTCATTATCTGCACATTTACTCAGCTGGTTCTTCCTGCTCTTGTGCAATCATTCTGTCCTTGCCTCCTTTGCACTGACAATCATACACAAACACTTTACATTCAGCTAAACATAACAATATAATGTGATAATTATTGTAAGAGCAGGCTGGGAATCCATATTTGATATGAGTATAGCACACAGCTTGGTTATGTGAAATCATCGTCATGAATTTCTCGCCCACACTGTCATCCTCTCTCAGTCTTTGTGCTGTAACCCAAAAGTTAAATGTAACAGGGAAACACAACTTACAAATGAATAAAAGGCATAAACTGCTCCATTTCAATTTACACCAATATTCAGACTGAAAGCAGGGTGCTACTGAACATGAACTGACCGGGATCAGGATCGGTACTGTAAACAAGCAACAGAACAGGAATAGAAATGTTTTAACAAACTAAAATAACAAAGTACATCAGCTCATTTGCTGGTAATACCAGCAGACTAGTGGCTCAGAAAGCTAGAATTAGCTAATAATCTCTAATGATTTAGGCTACAACACCTCTGAGTGAGCGCACTGTAACATCATGACATCAGCAAGACTGCACAGTTTTCATTCTCTCCTGACTCCAAGTTGGCAAAATATAACATTAGAAGAATGTCAATGTCAGAAAATAATACTAACGTACATTATCATCACTACTATTACTATAATATTATACTAATATATATAGTAAAGGGGAAGGTCTATTACTAGACCTCAGACCCGCCCCTTTCCTGATGAGTGCCCTTTTCTTGAGGCATTTTTAATTTATTTATTTTTTTGTAATTTGTGTGTGCATGTGGAGTCCTGCCTTTGACCCTCAACAGTATAATTTAACTGTTAATCATAATTTTGCTAAATAAAAGGACCTGGCTTGCATCAGTCACATGACCACCATTTACCAATGCTCACCCTCGACAGCAGAGTGCGCTGGTTACGAGCGGGACCAAACTCAGAAAGAGCACGTGCATTTTTTGCCACCTGGGCGGTGGCGACTGTACGACATAGGAGTAGTAGGTTATTATGTACACGTTGGTAAGATGTCTGTGAAGGTTCTCAGTCATCCAGGTCATTGTAGTCAAAGGAGCTTGCAAAGAAAAGCATCTGGACTTCTTTAAGTTTCTTAAAGACGTTTCACCTCTCATCCGAGAAGCTTCTTCAGTTCTAAGGTCAAATGGTGGGGAGTCCCAGATTTAAACTAAATGAGAGGTGAGATGAGAGGTGAAACGTATTCAAGCAACTTAAAGAAGTCCAGACGCTTTCTTTTTCTTTTTCTGCCTGTCCCATTTGGTTCTTTAGCCGTCAGAACTGTTGTCTGAAGACCAACAAGGATACCCAATGGATTTACTTTGCCAAATGGATCATCGTGGCATTGCCGTATTGGTCCATTTGATCGACCTTTGTTTTTATTATTTATTATATTTTATTTTCAGATGTTACAGACGGGACAGACATGAGTGAGGGATAGGAAAGGGAGAGAGAAAGAGGAAGGAAAAGAAAAACAGAAGGGGAGAGGGACAGTGAGAAAGGGGGGGAGAAAAAAAATCTCCTGGATCACCTGTTGAGAGAAGAAGAATAGAAAACAAGCAAAAAAAACAAACAAAACCAAAGCAACATACTAAACACAACACCATCGCTTTAATCTAGCTAAGTGTAAACAGCAGTAAATACTAAAAATTCAATGTTGTTGTGCAGCACGCAGGACAGACAGCGCACAATGTGCTTTGAAGTAGCAGCCAAGAAAGGTGTAATTTAAGTCTACGAGCAGTGAACACACGTGTGCACACCTGTGTGGATCAGCGCGCTTGTATTCAAATGGTTTCCACATGTAATGGTCTGCAAGAGGATGTAGTGAGCCATAGCCCCGTCCCCCAGGGCATGAAGCAGGCATGGGGGAGATCCAGGCCCCAGACATCCAGAGGCCTCAGAGTGCGAGAGCCCAAGGAGGACCACCAGAGGGGCATCCGTGCCACCCTCATGGGAAGGGCTGAGGATCCCCAGACGAGGCGTCACCCAGTAGCCACCGAGCAGAAGCTAGAGGGGGCTGCACCGGCGTGCCCGCCGGCTCTGCCGGCAACCGAGCTGCAGGCCCAGAGGCCGGAGGCCCGAGGGCCCCCCGCACCCCGGAGGAGGCCTGACCAAGCAACAGGCGCCAGGCCCCGCCGGTAGCCACCGGGAGTGAGCCGGTACATAACTGAGTGCCCAGCCCCGGACACCAAGAACCACCAATGCACCGACCCCTGAGGGCATCAGTCACCGGCAGGGAGTGTGGTGAGGGGAGATAGGCCTTGGAGGGCCTGGGAGTTCCCAGAGAGATGGAGTCTAAGACCCGACCTGACATATAGACACAGACAAACAGGTACACACAGACACAAACATGCGTTCCCACCCTCATGCACACATATACAAACACTCAGCACTCACCCAACGTAAGGAAAGACATAAATGGACATGTACACACAATCACACTCCCCAAACATACTCTATACCCCGGGTCCAGGTACCCTCGCCCCCAGAGGGGGAAACAGAACCCAGACCCAAGATATGTTACCCTTCCCCCCGGGGTGGAGGCAAGCAGACCGTCCCAGGCTCCGCAGCAGCAGGGAGGCCAATCGGACAGCCAACATCTCCTCCCAGCGCCCCCCGCCCCGATGGCTAGCAGAGAAGCTAGACGCTTTTCTTTGCAAGCTCCTTTGACTACACGTTGGTAAGTTGTGTTGTGGCAACTGACGAATTCAAACAAATGAGCGTGCTGTGTGTGCAACAATCATTACCTGTCCTAGTCTGGTCATTAGCTGCCAGCTAACTGGGTAAGGGTGTCATGGGTCTGTAGCTCTGTCCACCGTTTTAGTGAACATATTTACCTTTAAAGTAAGTTACAGGGCTTTCCCTGCATTTCTGGAGGGCTTACATTTCACTAAAACTGATCTAACATGCATATCCACATAATTATGGATTTATATTTTATATTTATATATGTATTTTTTATTCTCATTACTTTATTATTATAGACTAGGAATAAATAATAAGAGAAGGATTCTGAATCAGCACCATGATGAAAACTTGTGGCCATAGTACTGTAAACACAGTATTCTGGAGAAGGTATAAAATGTCACTGCATGTGTCTGTCCCTCACCAGATGGATTAAAAAGGGCACAGGTAACAATGACACATGTACCAGTTGTTACATTGCAGAGGTATTCAAGTACAAAAACTATAATAAACACAATTGCAATCTTTTGGTTCTATAACATTTTTCTATCATTACTTTGTCATGGACTAGGTGCAAGACTTGTTAAGTGTAGACAATTAAATAATAGATTAATGCAATAGCAAATTATGCCTAGTTCTCAGATGGACAGCAAGTAGAGAGTGATAGATGAGATGAGGAGATGGAAGGAGGAAGAGAGGCGAAGAGTGAGTCACAGGCAGAGCCTAGTTTATTTCCCACAGTTTTTTTTATTCTTGCCTTATGATTTCAAGCACTGTCACCAATCTTTGCATTTTAATATTATCTCATAGCACTTGTTTAATAAGCTACCATCTCTCCTATGGACTTTTTAACATCTACAGTCTCAAAGCAATAGAGCCCTGTCTTCTAGCACTATCAGCAGCAGGAGCAGCAGCAACCCCTCAACAGCAACATTGTACCCCATCAGGTAAAACATAGACTAAAGTAGTCATCGTTTTTTTTATATGGTGCATCCTTTCAGTTCATCCTCTGTACAGAATGCTTTATTCTGATTGGCTGGTTGCTTAATATGTAACGTGTATATAGACTATATAGACAAAAGTAGTGGGCCGCCCATGAAAACCCATTCCACGAAACTCCCAGCACACAGGTTTTGTGCTGATGTTAATGCCAGTACCATGGCTAGTTGCTTGATTTTATACACCTGTGTCAATGGGATTGAATTCAGACAGCTGTAGTCGAATACTGTTTCCATATAATTTAAGACAAGATATTGTAATATTATACACATGACAGCGTACATATTGACTGGAAAGCTGTACAAATAAAAGTGATTTGGCAGAAAATGAGGAGAAGCAGAATTTAGTGCTAAAGTTTTTTTTCCGGAAATTATCTGGTTAAAGGAAATTCTAGGTCCATTCATTACAGTCATTCTACATTCATTCTTCCTGTGACCAAAACATGTAAGTAACTGTCATCTGTGTTTGGTTAAGGAACCAGAGGGGGTGGTTGTAATTTAAATCATTTTGCAGCTGGTGGAATATTTGTCATGTGAGATGCACAGAAAATGCTTTGAGGCATCTGGAAACATTTTACTTTTTTCTGTTTATTTACTGAGGAAAACGGATGCTTCGTGAGTAGCTGTGAGTCGAGTATAATCATGCAAAAGCTTCACATATAAAACTATGTTCACATGTCACTGCACTTCTTGGTTTTCATGTCTCCCTCTGCGTGTCCTTTCAGCAGTATCTTTTTATATCTTGGTTTTCTTGATGTGTTGCCATGAGTTTAGCACTCTGCAGTCTGTCAGACCTGAGTGACACGAGATTCCTTAAAGAGGAACCCCATGCCTCTCTGATCCCCATCTACCTGTCCTGCACAAAGGCCTGTCAAAAGAGGCCCATTGATCGGAGGGCAAATAGCCCTGTTCTGCCCATACAGTGGTGCGTAATCCCTCATATATTCAGGCCACTCATCCATTCCATCCTCGTCCTCCTCATCTTCATCATCATCTCCTTCCTTTTCCCAGAGCGATGTGGAGACATGCTGGTACACCCTGGTGTCCTCACACTCCATCTCTCTGTGGTAAAAGTAGCTGAAGTTGGACACAATGACAGGCACAGGCAAAGAGATGGTGAGCACGCCAGCAATGGCACACATGGAGCCCACCAGCTTTCCCCCAACTGTCCCTGGGCACATATCGCCGTACCCGACTGTAGTCATGGTCACGACTGCCCACCAGAAAGCCTCTGGGATGCTTTTGAAGTTTGTTCCAGAACTGTCCACCTCAGCGAAGTAGACGGCGCTAGAAAAGATTATGACGCCGATGAAGAGGAAGAAGATGAGCAGCGCAAGCTCTCTCAGGCTGGCCTTCAGCGTCTGGCCCAGGATCTGGAGGCCCTTGGAGTGACGAGAGAGCTTGAAGATCCTGAAGACTCTCACTAACCTGATGACTCTGATGAGAGCCAGAGACACGGAGGGCTGCGTACCTTTGTCCTTTGCTAGCTCCGTGCCCACTGTGACAAAATAAGGCATGATGGCGAAGAAGTCTATGATGTTCATGATGTCTTTAAAAAAGTGCATCTTGTTGGGAGCGCTAATGAAGCGCATGATGAGTTCAAATGAGAACCAGCAGATGCAGATTGTCTCTACTATGAAGAATGGGTCCTGGAAGGCAGTGAATCCAGGTGAGACCAAGATGGTGTTGTTTGATATGTTGGGGTGAGGAGCGATGGAGTATTGCTGCAAGATAAATAAGGAAGTAGAAGAGATTAAACTCAAACATTAGATTAAAAGAAAAATCAAAGCATATAACCTGCACTGCCCAAAAGATTCAACTTATTTTCACACACTCGTTGGTTTGGAAGAAGAAATAGGAGAATAGAGAGAGAGGAAAGGTAGGGCAGTAGTAAACAGCTCCATGGAGATGATGTTTGCATGAATGTAAACAGAGAGAAATCAAGAAGGACAGAGTAAACATAAGGAGGAAAGTGAGAAGTAGCGATTATTATCAAAGTTTGTCCTCAGCACATTTGAAGTATGACATCTGTCACCAGGATCTTGTGAGATCTCTGATACGGTGCTAAAGTCTCTCTCCTCTCCATTTTCGCTCTCTTAGTTTTAATGCTTTTTTTTTTCTCTCACAGACTTTTATAAACCAGTTTCTCTATATTTAAACATAAAACATTCACCTCATGTGACTCAGGATTGTATTACAGCCACCTGACACTTTATTTAACCCAGCTGCTTTTTTTTTCTGGGAACAAGGTGCAAGTTTGGAATAACTGTCTTTTAACAACTTATTTAAAGTTACTCTAAGCATTTGATGGCCTTGCAGTACATACTGTGCTCAACTCTATTTCCTATTTCCTGTTAATTAGATACACCTGGCTGAAAATGTCTGGTATAACAAGCCTGCAGTAAATCCTGCTTCTGTCAAGGTCACAATGTTCAGGCTTGGTTTTGCTTCAGCTCTACTTTGTGGTGGGTTTGAACTGTATTCTGATAGATGTTTGGTTATCCACTAAAATAACCATTCAGCTCAACCGGCATCTCCCTAATTCCACATCAACCCAAACCAAACACTGTAACCTTGGCGACGGGAGAGTTTACTGCAGTCTGTTCGTCTTAAATTACATTATCTTTAGCTAGGTTGACCTAATAAACTGGAAACAGCATATGTTTCTTGTGTCCTCGTGTGTGCTGCTTTATATATACTTTGAACTGCCTGTGACATTTGCAAAGCAAATTCTAAACAGACACTGCTCAGATTAAGGTGAAATATACTAATGGCAGGTTGAATGATGTTAGTGTCCATCACTTAGATCCAGGCTGTCACATAAAACCAACAACATGCATGGTTCGAGATATTTTTGTTTGTAAGATTTTCCATCTCGTGAGTGACTGATAACGTGGAGATGGCTGTGCATGTATGTTTATGTTGGCTTGCATTGTATCCGAGAGTATTGCAGGCTCTGATCACTTTAGTATGGAAGACAAATCTGCTGGTCAGTTAAGTGGCAGAGGAGGTTCTTAATCAGTTTCGGCTGCTTTGGTGGTAATGGGATGAACAACAGGTGCGCTAGAGGGGCAACAATGAGAGAACCCCCAAAACAAGAATGGTTTGGGAGTTGTGATGGAGGCTACTGACAACTTTTCCACCTCTAATCTTTTCTGTTTCTTTTCATTAGTTTTGCATTTGGCTGTCTCCCAGAACAGTCTCAAGATCATGGATGAGATTCTAGGAGACATGCAGTTACTTTTGGAGAGCTGGACAGGGCAAAGCCATAACCCATCAGTGGGACCAGTGTCTGCTCCTTTGTGCAAGGAGGAATGCTGCCAGACCCCTACAAAGTAATCTCCAACAGGCCACTGGTATAAATGTCTCTGACCAAACAATCAGTAACAGACTTTGTGAGGATGGCCTGAGGGCCTGACGTCTTCAAATGGGCCCTGTGCTACTTCTCCACCAGTGGAGCCTGATTAGCATTTGCCATAGAATACCAGACATAACAGATCCACCACTGGAGTCTGGACATAATCTGGGTCTGCAAACAGAATGGCTGAAACAAAATGTTACAATGGACCAGTCGAAGTCCAGATGTCAACCTAATTAAAAATCTTGTGGCGAGCCCTTCAAAGAGCTGTGCATAAATGAATTCTTACGACCCGCAATGAAGTGAAGCAACTCTGTAAAGAAAGGGGGCCCAAATTCTTCAGAACTTTCATGGAATATTCATTTATTTTTCTATTTGTTAATTGTTTTGGCAGTTTTTGTCCTCCATACATCAACATATCTATCTCTGTTTACTGGAGTAACGAGGGAGTGGTGGTGGTGCTTTGGAAGCATGCACGTCTGCTACCTGAACCTCCACAATCCATCTCGTCTCCAGGCTGCCGGAGCACATGCGAGACAAATTTAATTTTGCCGTAGTCATCAGAAAAACCGATCCGTCTCCATCTTTTCCATGCCGTTTTCAGTGTGTAGCCTATGAGTCACTGTGTTTATTAATACGGGCTTTGGTTTATGTGTTGATGGGCTCTTTGGGGTGTCCTTCCTCTATATATAGCACCTTTAGATCTCCGAGGAGTAACCTGAGACAAGCTCATCTCCTTTCCTGCTTTTCATGCTGGCTTCTCTTCGTCTAAGTCCTTCCACTCTCTAGTGCTTCTTCCTACTTTTAAAGCATCCACTTCATCTGAATTAATTAACTAATAAGTAAAACTCTCAAGCCGCTTTACCTGCTCTCTTCTATCCCTCATATTTTTCCACTGGTGGTTTAACTGCTCTCCTCATCTCGTACTTCTTTCCTCTCAGTCTAACTGGATCAGATTAAGTGGCAACTCCAAAATAATTTCAGCAGATAGTCTCCTTTACTTTCTTTCTTTCCTCAGCCTTTGCTTTCCTCTCCATTTTTCACTCAGTGTTGCTTCAGGAGATAAAAACATTTTCATCTTGTGCTGCAAAGTGACATCTGTCTGCACTTCTTGTGCTTATTTGGTCACCTCATCACTTTCCTGCAGTGTTACGCTGTGTTCTCTAAGCACCCTGTCGTCAGCCTACTCCCTCACCCATGCGGTTATTGCAACTGACATAACTTTCCTTGTGCAGCCCTGTGAATACCGGTTTTGTAGATATGAGCATCCTCACCTCCCTACGCTCCTTTTCATTTCTGAACTCAGGCAGGGTCTCCAGGCAGAAGATGAGAATGGAGACCACAATGACCATGACACTGATGATGGCGATGATCCGAGCTCCGCTGGAAGATTCCGGATACTCAAACAGCATCCAGATTTGCTGCTGCCACTTTTTTTCAGGTAGAGGTCTTTCCTCCTCTTTGGCGAAGCCTTCATCCTCTTTGAAGTGGTCGATGATCTCCTCTCCGAGCTCGTAGAACCGCAGCTCCTCCAAGAACATGTCCAGGGGGATGTTGGCGGGCCTCCGCAGCCTCCCACCTGACTGATAGAAGTAGAGGATGGCGTCAAAGCAGATGCGGTTTCTGTCCAAGAAGACTTCATTCCGCAGAGGGTCGAAGTAGCGAATTCGACGCTGGGGGTCACCCAACAGGGAGTCTGGGAACTGAGCAAGGGTGCGCAGCTGGGTCTCATAACGCATCCCTGACACGTTGATGGCCAGACGCTCCGTCAGAGCCCACTGACACCGCCGGCGGTTCTCCCTTCTGGGATGCGCTCTCGGCTCCTTGCTGCTCTCTTTCTCCAACTTGTTCTGCTTGTTTTTGGCCTGCTTATCTTCATCACTGACCTCCTCGGATTTTTGTTTATCTTTCGTCTCACCTCCACCTCTATCTGTACCTCCCCCCTTATGATTGTCCATGTCTCAGCCTGGAATAGTTCCTTTTTAAAAAGAAAAGAAAAAAAAAGTACTTTTTGCTGCTTCTTTGTTTCTGCAAGAAGAAAAATGTAAGTTACCCTGACAAGTTCACTTCAACAACCTTTACAGATAGTTACAACATCTTAATACCTGTGTATAAAAGGTGTATAAAAAATCAATTGTACATTGTAAGTATACATGAGTAAACATTTATGAGTTGATTATTTTACCAAATGTCTTCATTTTTTTACATATTTTTCTACTGTTAGACTTTAATGTAACACCAGAAAATGTTACACCTGTACAAGCTTCCCTGAACTGACTTCTAACCTTTGTGTGGTGTTCGTATTTTTGTTACTCAGCCAGTGTTCATGGGTCTGGTGGACCCGCTAGAGTGCTAACTTTCCAAATTAACACTATCAAACAATTTTATGTTAAATTACTCAACAGATGTTTACTTCATCCCAATTACAAGACATATGAACAGCAAACATGGTTAATTTTTTCCCTTTACCTTTG